CGTACGCGCTTCATACAGCACGATTCACACAGCTCTAAATGCGCGATCCGATGCACAATTCAATGTACAATTAGCCGCGGAATTCAACGCGCGCTTTAGCGCATAATTTGATGCGCGTTTCAAAACGCGCTTCCGCGTCGGAATGAATGCCGTACACGCTTCATACAGCGCGATTCGCATAGCTCTAAACGCGCAATTCGATATGCAATTCAACGTACATTCAGACGCGGGATTCAACGCGCGCTTTGTTGCACAATTCGATGCGCACTTCAAAACGCGCTTCCGCGTCGGAATGAATGCCGTACGCGCTTTATACAGCACGATTCACCTAGCTCTAAATGCGCAATTCGATGCACAATTCAATGTACAATTAGCCGCGGAGTTCAACGCGCGATTTATCGCATAATTTGATGCGCGTTTAAAAACGCGCTTCCGCGTCGGAATGAATGCCGTACACGCTTCATACAGCGCGATTCGCACAGCTCTAACCACGCAATTCGACGCGCAATTCAACGTACAATTAGCCGCGGAATTCGACGCGCACTTTAGCGCATACTTCGATGCGCGCTTCATATGAATGCCGTACGCGGGTTCGATTCCCGCGCGAGCGCTTCACACTGCCCGACAGGCTAAATTTGCGTGCTAGGCTCTGCCGGCTTAATTTTCCTACGAAATGCGTGTGTGACATACACGCCGTACGCATCGTATGCGCTATGCCGTACGCGCTATGCTGTAACGTAACGTACGCCCTTAACCGCCGTGCAACGCACGCAGCGACGGAGCTACGGCTCACCCGCGCGAACAGCGCGCTCTAGTCCGTCCCTCCGTCCGTCTCTCTATCTGTCCACCACGTCGCCGGTTCAATCACCAGCGCGCGCGCGTCTTTTTTTTGCGCGTTTTTTTTCTTTTTTTTTCTTCGTATGCTTCATATGCTTCATATGCTTCATATGCTTCATATGCTTCATATGCTTCATATGCTTCGTATGCTTCGTGTGCTTCATATGCTTCATATGCACATATGCGTCTTATGCGATATGCGATATGCAGCGCTAGCAGATGGCAAACTTCAACGTGCAGACTTCAACACACGCACTTCACCATACGTGCATACGCACATATGCTTCGTATGCTTCGTATGCTTCGGACGTGCGCGGAGTGAATGCCGTGCGCGCTTCATACAGCGCCGTTCTTCGCTTGTAAGCTTTGACGATGCTCGCAATTCACCTTGCCACTGTGCCGAAGTACTTTCGAGCTTTTTGCTCTTTCTTTTCGCTTCTTTCATGCGCTTCAATTCCGCGTCGGAATTAATGCCGTACGCGCTTCATACAGCGCCGTCATTCGCTTGTAAGCTTTGACGATCCTCGCAATTCCCCTTGTCACTGTGCCGGAATGTTTTCAAGTTTTTTGCTGTTTCTTTTTGCTTTTTCCGCGTTATTCGCCATTCACAACAGAATGAATGCCGTACGCGCTTCATACAGCGCCGTTCTTCGCTTGTAAGCTTTGACGATGCTCGCAATTCCCCTTGTCACTGTGCCGGAATATTTTCAAGTTTTTTGCTCTTTCTTTTTGCTTTTTTCGCGTTCTTCGCCGTTCACAACCTCGTATCCTTAACGGCTTACTTAGTATACGTGCTCGCTTCGCCGGGTCCGCCTTCATGTCGGATCAGTCGCCTGCTTCGAAACGGCTCCGGTTGGGCTCGCTTGCGGACGGCTTCCGCAGTGGTGGAAGAATACGTCCGTTCGCTGATTTGAGTACGGGCCGTGCAGCTGAGCAGCAGCAGCATGCCGCAGCACAGCAGACAGCCATGCAAATAAATTCAGCGGGGCCCGCAGAGGCAGCTGCTGCAGATACACAGCTGGAGGGGCAGCACCAGGGTGCTGATGCTTCTGCTGCAGAAGTACGGGAGAGATGGCGGCGGCAGAAAGCTGCACAGCGTGCGGCAGCCCTTCCTGAACTACGGTTGTTGCAGCGGCAGCAGGACGCTGCACGGCACGCAGCTGCACGTGCTGACCCGGAGGTGAGGGCACAGCAGCGGATGCATGACACAGCACAGCATGCTGCTGCACGGGCTGACCCGGAGGTGAGGGTGCAGCAGCAGTTGCGTGATGCTGCACAGCATGCCGCTGCACGTGCTGATCCGGAGGTGAGGGCGCTCCAGCAGCAGCGGAACACAGCACAGCATGCCGCTGCACGTGCTGATCCGGCGGTGAGGGTGCTCCAGCAGCAGCGGAACACAGCACAGCATGCCGCTGCATGTGCTGATCCGGAGGTGAGGGCGCTCCAGCAGCAGCGGAACACAGCACAGCATGCGGCTGCACGTGCTGATCCGGAGGTGAGGGCGCTCCAGCAGCAGCGGAACACAGCACAGCATGCGGCTGCACGTGCTGACCCGGAGGTGAGGGTGCTCCAGCAGCAGCGGAACACAGCACAGCATGCGGCTGCACACGCTGACCCGGAGGTAAGGGTGCTTCAGCAGCAGCGGAACACAGCACGGCATGCAGCTGCACGCCAGGTGCAGCAGCAGAATCAGCAGG